AATATATACTGAAAAACTTACATGTTTAAATAAGCTTTTTTTCTTGGAAAATGGAAGTTAGCTAACAAGGAATCAATTTATTTTCCTTAAATAAAGAAATTCATATTACTAATATGGTAGGGAAATAAATTTCTCTCCAAATCTATTTATGATGACTTTTTCACTTCCCAAAATTGTCAAATTTGCTAGTTTGGGATACATATACTCAATCACATCCTTTTACCACTTAGGAAATAAATGTGATTTTCATAAATGATATTGGGAAATGACTGAATAAATCATTCACCAAACTATTAAAAGATGAACTTTTATTGATTGAAAGAAAAATAAAAATAATGTTTCAAAGGGAAGCAAAACTGGGAAAACCTTTAGGGGAAAAAAGAACAAAACAACAAGGACCTAAAATATCCCTGAGATTAAAAAAAATAAAAAATCCCTATACTTTCTGTGTCACCTTCATCTTGAGTGTCTGAATTACTCGAAAAGCATCTGACAACTATAAGGGAGGATTTTGGTTCCATCAACGGCTAGCTATTAGTATGGCAGGAAAGCAGAAGAGCAAAAACAAGTCTGCTACTGGAATCCTGAGGCAGGAAGTAGGCATCACTGTATAGGTGTGATCAGGTATATGAGAAAAACACAACCCCTTTGAATTCTAATTGGATGAGAAATTGTCTCTTAGGCACACAGAATTATCACTGCCCTTAGTTAACAGTAGTCTTCTATCACATTATTTATCACTAGGTTTCAGTCTTCTATCACTTACAATTTGTTACAGAAGATGCATGTGCTAGGTAAGTTAATTTGTAGGTCTTTACATGTTGCATGAGGTCAACATTCTTAAATTGTTTTCTATTTTTAAAGTTGTCTTTCTTATTGGCACATTTGTACATATTTTTATACTCAAATATGATGCTTGGATTCATGTGTACCATAATTAATGATTGATTCAAAGTAGTCTGATATTTATCACCTTAAATACTTACCCTTTTTTTTACAGTGAATACACTCAAATTCCTCTGCTTTAAGATAAGTGATTCAGGATTGTTAATTATTTTTATCTTGCTATATTATAGAACAGAACTTACTCCTCTTAACAAAAAATAATATCATGCCTGTTTTTGACACCTCCCTCTACTCCTCCTCACCAATCCTTCCCCATCTCTGGTAATCACTGTTTCAACACAAGGATTTTTTCTAAGAGAGGCTGTGGGATAATGAAAAGAGAAAAAGAGAGACACCACAAATAGGTAACAGTTAGTATGTGCCAGAATATTAGTAAACACTTCAGAGCATTTCACATTTAATTATTTTAACAACAGAATGAGTATGGTCCTATTATTATCCTTTTTTTCATGGGTGGAACTATGGCCCTGGAAGATGAAGTAACTTGACAATGTCACACAGAGCTGAGGCAAGAAGATAATTCTAATAATCTAGATCTAAATGTAGATGCATTTAAACACTTGCTTGTTGGAGCTGTATCACACTGATAGAGATAGAAGCAGACTCAGTGGTGTCTAGCTGTACAAGGTAATTATAAATGAAGCTAGCAAATTTAGAATAGAAAGGACAAATAACTTTGGGCATCATAGCAGAAAATTTTGAAACAAGACTTCCATATAATATGAAGTAAACCTGTAAGGCAATACCACATATGGTTTTCTCTTATTGAGCCTTGTTTATGTGTAACAATGTGTTTATGTACATAAAAATAAAACATGGTATTCTAAAAAATTTTTTATATTTGATATAAAGGATCTCAAGAAAATAAAAAGAATAAAATATCTGTTTCATTAATTTTTCCATAGAATAGGCATCCTAAAGCAGTGCCACAAGATTATAGATGCAAACAAGAAAACTCTGAATTACCAGAATTTTTCTGTGAAATGAAAATAAATAACATTCAAATAAGTAAAAAAAAAAGTGGAATTTTAACACTTAGTCACAAAATCATTAAGTGAGTCCTTTGAAAATAAAGCATTATTAATGAAATGGAGGATTTGAACAGTGCCTTTTTTCATGGTATTAATAATCAAGGATATATCACTAAAACAAACAATAATTATTACTGTACTTGTATCTAGACAATAAGAATGACTGCCATTTGAAGCACAAAGTAGAGTAGCTTAAACTAGGGAATATTTGCTTAAAATTGACATAAAAGAATGTCTTAAATTAATGAAATGTATATACTTTATACAGGCTAAACATTGTAACTAAATTCATAATAAAATAGCACATGATCTCCATATGTATTTTAATAGAATGAGAATAGTGGAAAATAACATATATGACTCATAGGTATGGACAACAAATACAATTTTTTTGAATAAAGTTGAAATAATGAACTCAATAGACGGTAAACATTTGGTTAATAAAATAAAACTAATGTGATTATGAGGATTGTATCATCATAAATTTACCACTTTAGAGATTTCAAAAAGCACTTGGCTTTTGAAATCAAATATGTTATATGAAGACAGATTAATGTTGCAAATGAATATTCAGGATGTTTTTATTATTCTATTCATACTATTCAGATATTCCTCCAATTTTCACTGGTAGTCTTGGGTTTTACTGGCATTCTTCCATTTTTACTACGTAGACACAAGAAAATGATTTAGATAGTGACTACTTTATTCAACTCATATTATTAAGGGTTTGTTATTTCTATTGTTTTGCATAACATGCACTTCATAGATTGGTTTTAGTGAAATTATTGAATGAATAGAATAATAATGAAGAAGTTATCAATGCTTAGGTGAAATTTTGCCCTGTAAATATTAGGAAGTGCATTGATTGTATAAAATCTAATAAAACTTGTTCTGTTCCTACTTCAAAATTTAGATGAATACAATTAACATTTGCTCTTCACAGAAGATATATATATATAAATATATATATATA